CACAGATGCCGGCGAAACGTTAGGAAACAAAACTTCCAGAACACGGCCACACAGCCCGGAAGATCCACACCAGCTACCCCAAGAATATTCTGTAAGGATAAGAGAGCTCCTGGGAGCAATGGCTACTGGGAATGGAATTGCTGGCTAGACAGTCCACAGAAGTACAAGAGATGAATCCTTTCAATTACATTTCCAATTTCATGCATTAAACCAGGGACAGGCTAGTCAGTTTCAGATTTCCAACTCTCTAGGTGACAACTTATCCAAAAAAAAAAAAAAATGTTGCAAGGATTGAGGGACAGGATAACAGGTCAAGGCCTGGATGGAAGAGAGTAGTCTAATTGGAGCCACGGGTATGCTGACCTGAAATGACCCAATATGCCCTAAATTCCCTGCATGCAGTGTTTGGGAGCAGGATAAGAGGGACTTCCAAGCAGAGGCGCGTACACTACACTGCCTAGCTGTGGACGGGTAATAAGATACAGGCAGTGGCATATGGACATGTCTCTGGAAATGGCTAGTGGACCATTCTGCAACCTGGGCAAGGAGACCGTGTGGATTTGCCCAATGCCCAAAGTACTTTGTGAGGGGCAGGTGTTGGGATAATATGGTCACTGTCCTAGAGAGGTCTTTGGAGTATGATAAAGTCTGAAGTCCAAACTTAAGATTAAAATAAACTGAACTATTTCCAACTGCTTTATTTTGTTACTACTTTTTAAAAATTAATCTGCCAAGTCTAGTTATAAATCAAAGTGAAGAAAATTTGGCCATTGGCTGGATGAAAGGGGAAAAACAAACAATCTAGCCCAGGATAACAGCCAGATATCAACCTTTGGAGTGTCCACAAAGAGAGCAGAAATATAGCTTCACTCTGCTGCCCCACCCCACTCCCTTCCTGGAATTTAGAGAGCGACTGCTCTGAGTATACAGAATTTATATAGCCGTTAGGAGTACCAAGTGGGACCTGGACAAAGTCCCAGTATGTTCCTATTGATGATTCCAGCCAGCCATGTCTTTTTCATAACTGATCTCCAGGTTTTCTCATTTTTCCCAACAGGCAGCCAACAGAATTTGGATGCAAACTACCCCCTCATTCTTAGGACCTAAGACATTCATTCATTAAGCGTCCTTGCTTCCAAGAATCTGTCTGATCCAAAGCCAAGCGGGTCTTGTGACCAACATCACATCTAGTTACAATGAGCCCTAGCATCTAAACTGGATAGTAAAAACAATAGTAGGTCAGGACCCCAGGTCAAGATTTTTTCAAGGGAAGTCTTTTCTTGCAATTCTGGCTTCAGATATTTATAACTCTCAAAGACACGATTTATTTCATTAAAAAAAGAAAAAGCCAGGAGCCAGCAGCTGATCAGTGAATCAGTGTGTGCATTCAAGTCAGGACTTTGTGAAGCAATGACTAGTATAGTGATATTTCAATGCTGAATTTTCAACATTGTATAAAATGGAGGATAGGGCGCCTGGACAGATTTGCCATTCATTCTAGGGGTTTCTAATCTGGCTGTCAGTTTCAAAGACTCCCCAACTCGCTATCTCCTGAGCAGAGTTATGAGCAAAGCTCTTCTCTATCAGTATCGTAAGCAGCAAAAGGATTCAGTCTGAGGTTCCCGTTAAGTACCTCCACTTGGTATAAACAAAAAAACAGTTGAATGCTTGTAACTTCCCTTGGCCTTCCAACCCAGCACTCCCAAAGCTCTAATTTGCTCCTTGGTTCTGCTGAGTGGGGCCTTATAATTTGTGGGATTACTTTGGAAGACGGAAACTAGAGAGAAGTCACCAGCATCATGACTGCACAAAGGGGGAAGCTGCCCACAAAAAAGCTGCCCGCAAAGAGGGTGTGACCGTGAACCAGAACAGCTTTATGGTGGCTGAAGAGATACAATAATAGAGGAGGGATGGATGGAGATTGTGTGAGAAAGAGAAAGGGGAGATGAGGATGGTCTGGTGGCTCTGAGCCCTATCTGAAATCAGCCATCACCTACAAGTTGCACTGCCAAGGGGCAACATTTTCTTTACTCAGCAGACTTTGGATATCAAACCTGAGGCCCTGAGATTAACATGGGCACCTGAAAAACATGGATGTAGCCAGAACACTTCCAAAAGTTGCCAGTATTGTAATTTTTAATGCAACCAGAAAGGACAGACTTAGCATATTTGGGCTGCAAAAATCCAGACAACCATGAAGTTGCAGGAAAGAGCTACAGTGTTAGGTATCTCAGTGCTGCCATTAGTGGTTCTCCAGATTTTTGCAACCCAAATACGTAACCCCACAGAAGCGAAATTATTAAATACATGAAATCAGGAGTTTGGGAGCACCTTTTCCACCTGCTGCAGAGTATGAAAACTTAAGCCTTTTAATAATTATGTTAGTTGGAAAAGGTGCTCCCAGACTCCTCCTGATTTTTTGCTACGATAGACTACCATGACTGTTCTCCTACAATGTATAAAATACATAACAAGATATCGTATCAGTGATATCTTATTAACATTAAATTAAATTACAAAATATTGTAATGTTTGTTTTCACCCTTCCGAATTCTCAGTTCTTGCTCCACTTCCATTTTGGAATATACCCCATGGCCTAAATATACTGAATTTTTTTGGGTGTTGTTGTTCAGTTGTTAAGTCATGTCCAACTCTTTGTGACCCCATGAACCATATCGCGCCAGGCCTTCCTGTCC